TCTGTTTATATCAAGTTGAAGCTTTTGTAATCTGTCTGAAACGGAGTCTGTGATGTGTTTTAACCATTAATTTTTTTTGTTAGTTAGTATTAATCATTTATTACTGTGTAAATAAATTACTGGATTAAGTACTTAGTCCAGTTGTAACGTAATTATCGTGTTCCATTGGCAACCTTTGGCGAATTTCAATTAATTTTGGTCATCTTCATTTGGATGGTATCAGATAGGTTGTCATAATCTGAAAACTATTTGGTGTTTAGTCTCTGGCATATACAGCTGATTTTTGACGATAAATCTCTGGTATAGAATGAATACGTAAGTAACTTTTGTATTTATTCTCTTGTGTCTAACTTCGATCGAATTCAGGAAATGTTTGTTATTTTAAAATAAAGCTCATACCTTAGATTTTGCATATTTAGAAAGTATGTTACTAGACTTCATATATTAAATAATGTCTTATCTATATTATAGATAACTTTAACATAAACTTAAGTATACTTAAATAACTTCCACTTGATATAAATAAAGTTATATAACTTAAAACTCAATATAAATTTAAATAACCTATAATAAACTTGACCGGATTTTTCTGTGTTGTTTTGTTATTTTCCTTTAAATTGTAATTTAATATGAGCTACTCGTAATTTTAATTGATTCTTCTTGTTATTTTATTATTTTTTTTGAGTGAGAATCAATTGTGCGCACTTTACTCACAAATAGATCCCGATATAAAAAAATAAAACTAACAATTAAGATAATGAAAAAAAAAAGATTCATATGTAATGGTTGAGTAGCATCACAAAATTTCACGCTTGATGCATTTTTTCGAATATCCTTTACTGAATTCATTTAAAAAGAAATTAAAAACATAGAGAGAGAGAGAATAGTAAATACTCCTATTAAAAATCCCCATTGCTGTTATTTTAGAAAATATTAACAACAATTAATTTCTATCTGACTTTCTATGCAAGTATTACTATAAAAATCAGCTCTGAAGTTAACACTTTGCTAGTTGCCAAAACTGAACTTCAAATTTTTCTCCTCACAGAGATTTGTTCAAATATTCCTGTATTGATGCATTTTATAATTCCGAAATATACATTGATTTATCATACTTACCCTTCATCTTTGATAGCATTCTATATTCCTCCAATTTTCCATTTTATAATGTTGATTGAAAATCATTTAACGTTATAGTATGGGATACAAATCATGAAAGACCTATAATTTGAGAAAAAAAACAGGTTTTTCAAAATTCAAATGAGCTGCTTCCTGTAGAGTAATGATATTAAGCTAAATTTGGAATCTTTTACTGTCTCAAAAAAGTTTAAGTTTGGATCGATTCTTCAACATTAGATAAAAAAAAAGAGCCTTAAAGAATAGGAACTCGTTAGATACAGTGCATCTTAGCGAAGTAACTTCATTGAAGCTAAGGAAAATGCACTTGCTTTTTTTAATTCCTACCATTAGTTCACTCCCTATATATATATATACATATATATATATATATATATATATATAAATATAAATATATACAACATACATACATATAAATATATATATACATACATATAAATATATATATATATATACATACATATAAGTATATATATATATATACATACATATAAGTATATTTATATATACATACATATAAATACATATAAATATATATACATATATATACATATAAATATATATACATATATATACATATAAATATATATATATATATATTATATACATATATATATACATATAAATATATATATATATTATATATACATATATATATATACATATAAATATATATATAAATATATATATATATTTATATATATACACATATAAATATATATATTATATATATACATATAAATATATATAAAGAGTGTTTTTTTTTTCCAGGTATAGAAGTTTAAGTTGGCATTACTTTCCAAGATGGCGACCGATTTAACAGCTGTCAAGTGATTTATTCTCAGTTTGGTTTGGCAATTCATCATGAATAGACTCACGCCTGAACAACGCTTTCAAATTGTGCAATTTGATTTCGAAAATAATGGTTCTGTGCGGAATACGTATTCCCGATTTTCAAAAGCGAATTTTGTTTAGTGATGAAGCGCACTTCTCGTTAAATGGCTACGTCACCAAACAAAACTGCCGCATTTGGAGTGAAGCTAATCCACAAGTGTACGTCGAAACACCGTTACATCCAGAAAAACTGACTGTTTGGTGCGCTTTATGAGCTGGTGGAATCATTGGTCCGTAATTCTTCAAAAACGATGAAGGCCAGATTGGACTACATCCGAGCCAGCCGTGGCCGTCATATGCCAGAAATCATATTTAAAATGTAATGCCACAAGATTATCTTTCGAATACAAAAAAAATTCTTGCCAATCGAATAATACATCGGTGTTTCATTGCAATTTAATGTTCTATACCTCTAAAAAACACCCTATATATATATATATATATATATATATATATATATATATATATATATGTATATATATATATATATATATATAAATAAATATATATATATATAAATATATAATATATATATAAATATAAATATATATATATATATATATATATATATATATATATATATATATATCTTGTGTGTGTTCAGATTTCCAATTGCTAATATATATACTTTACTAGCCGTTACCCACCCGCTTCGCTGGGTATTTCCCGATGTTGTATATATGTATACTGTTTACATATACATTAATTATTGATATCTAGCATTAAGAATTCGATTGTATTGAAAAATATATTTATAGCTGTTACACTCTCGCCCCTTGATAAAAAAAGAAAATAAATTATAATATCTAATTTCTATTTATATCTAAAATAGAAGTAGAAAGATTTTTTTCGCTCACTTAACCTAATAATCAAGTGGATTTCCACCAAAGCAACTTTCAGTGGATCTCTACTCCATAAAATAAACATGCGTGCTAAATTTCAAGTCTAAATCTAACAGAGCAAAAACGGAATTTTTATCATCAATACCTCATTGACAGCTCTCTTAGCGGATTCCAATTCAACAAAAGAAGCATGCAAACCAAATTTTATTATTATAGTCTTAGCAGTTCAAAAACGGGAATTTTGTCTATCAATACGCCCCAATAACTCTCCCCATTTACCCCTGGAGTTGATTTCCGTAAAATCTATTCTTAGTGGAACTCTATTCAACTAAAGAAAAGTGCTCAAAAAATTTCAAGTAAATGAGTTAAATTCAAAAAAAGGAATTTTTCTATAACACGCTTTAATCCCTCGCAACTCCACTCCTTTGGGGGTCCGTTTTCGCAAAAATCTTTGTGAAAAGAACTTTATTCCATGAACGGAACATACCTTCTAATTTTCAAGCATGTGGTTCTATTAGTTGAAAAGCGGAAATATTTATCTATTACGCCCCTTAATCCCCCTCAGTGACCCTTGGGGATCAATTCCCCCCAAATTTTTTGTAGCGGATCTACATACCATGAAAGGAATTCGCTTACCTAGTTTAATGACTGTACGTCTAATAGGTTAAAAATGGAAATAATCATGTATAACGCCCCTTAAGCCCCCGCAACGCCACTTAGGAAACGATTTTCACAAAGCCCATCTTAAAGCGGATCTCTACATAATAAATGGAATCAGCTTACTAAATTTCGAGATTTTACGTCTAATAGTTTAAAAAAGGAGTTAATTGCCTATAACGCTACCTAATACTCTACAACGCCACTTGGGAGTCGATTTTGACAAACCCCACTTTGCAGCGGATGTATACTGTATGAAAGGATGTATACTGTACCAAATTTCAAGACTGTACGTCTAATAGGTTAAAAATGGAAATAATCATGTATAACGCCCCTTAAGCCCCCGCAACGCCACTTAGGAAACGATTTTCACAAAGCCCATCTTATGACAGATCTCTACTCAGTGAATGGAATCTGCTTGGTTAATTTCAAGATTTTATGTCTAATAGTTTAAAAAAGGAGTTAATTGCCTATATAACGCCCCTTAATTCTCCACAACGCCACTTGGGGTCGATTTTAACAAAACTCATTTTGCAGCGAATCTGTACTCTATGAAAGGAATCCGCTTACCAAATTTCAAGACTGTGAGTCTAATAGTTTAAAAATGGAGATAATTATGTATAACGCCCCTTAAGCCCCCGCAACGCTCCTTAGGAAACGATTTTCACAAAACCCATCTTATAGCGGTTCTCTACTCAATGAATGGAATCAGCTCACTAAATTTCGAGATTTTACGTCTAATAGTTTACAAAAGGAGTTAATTGCCTATAACGCCACTTAATTCTCTACAACGCCACTTGAGAGTCGATTTTCACACAACCCATTCTGTTAGGGGATCTGTACTCTATGAAAGGAATCCGCTTACCAAATTTGAACACTGTATGTCTAATAGTTTAAAAATGTAAATAATTATGTATAACGCACCTTAAGTGCCCTCAACGCCCCTTGGAGGTTGATTTTTGTAAAAATCATTATGTAGGGAATCTCTACTTTATGAAAGATATCTGTGTACCAAGTTTCACGATTGTACATCTAATAGTTTAGTAATGGAAATAATTATCTATAACGCTCCTTGGGGCTCGAACTTTACAAAATCCGTTCTTAGCTGGCGTCTACTCCATGAAGGGAACCTACCTATACCAAATTTCAAGTCTGTAGGGTTAATAGTTCCGGAGATATCGCGCGTGATTAGTCAGAGTCAGTGAGTCAGTCAGTGAGTGATTGTGTGTGTGAGTCGCTTTTCTCTCCTTTATATTTATAGATATATATATTTCCAATTGTTAGTGTATACTTTCTATTCATCCATTCAAGTTCAAGTACATTTTTTAAAACTTGTAGTGGATGATACTTGATATTAATGCAGTTTTTTAAAATATTAATTAATTTTATTATATTTAGTTAATGAAAAATAGTAATAAACACAAAAATAATAGTCCCACATCATACATAAAAAAGAAAATCGCCCGTTGCGTCCCTGTAGCGCAATGAATGGCACGTTGGACTTCTAATCCAAATTCGTGGGTGTGATTCCCACCTGAGATGGCTTAATTTCTGAGAATGTGATTTCTTTTTACTATACTATTTTATTGGATTAATTAAATTTAATTAATGAATAAATAGTTACAAATAAAAGTAAATGTCCAATCCCCTACATAGAAAAGAATGAAAAATTGCATAGAAAATCCCTTTCTACTTTGCTCCTTATATTGTGATTATGCCATACGTATATATATATTTATATTAATTGAAATTATTTAATGAAAAAAGTAACTAATTTTTTTTCTTTGTTGACCTAAGTAAGAATTGACATAATTTTTTTATATTACTTGTTTATTCACTAATCTGTACCAATCCTTCGTTTTTTAAAAATAAATTTTAAGTAATCTTTAATTTCATTGTACTAATAGAAAGCTAAGTACTCTACAGATGAATTCCACGTATAAACACACCTTTTTACTACAATTGTGTGGTGGCCGTGATAGCTGAGTGTTCTTGATAACGAACTCGTGACCCAGACTCGAACTCGAACCCTCTAGTAACCCTGAAGGTTCACCATGTACAGAGGCTGAGGTACATTAAATCAGTCTCAACCACCCGTTGGCAAAGTATAGTAGTTTGGAGGGGGTTTTCTCAGGTGTTGTTCTCATTGCTTGATTGGGGTTCAGGATTACGAGGTCCGTTACTAGTAATCCGTGCTACCTCAGAGTAAGACGCAGATTCCTATCAAGTGTGTAATATTACTCAGCAAAACAAGTTATCAGTGGAATTGCTTTGTGTTAAAAATGAGAGAAATATAGAAAACTTTATAATAAATAATACTGAGATTCACACTTATTAAAAGATGCTTTTCGATTTATATTTAATATTTAAACAGACCAGTAAAAACAATTGAAGGTAAAGTTTTCTTACGGTTTATTTCTTTCTTCATCGAGAGAATTAGTTTGAATAATCTTGAAACTCGAAAATATTTAAATTTAAAAACTGTCAAAGATATATTTTGATTCATTTTATTTTTAGATACATATTTTTTTACCGCTTCATGAATCGTTATTTTAGTTTTATCCTTAAACCTCAGTTAAAAATTTATTCAACTCACTTCTTTAAATAAATGTAAAAGTTTGTAAAAAAACTTTCTCGATGTCTTTTAACAAAAAAAATTGGGTACGATGGATAAATCACTTGAACAAGAAAATGTTGAAACTCAATCATATTTTATTTTTGTTGAATATTAAATAACGTTTCATAGTTGACGTATAAAAGCTGCAGAATCCTACAGAGGCTGTTCAACGCAAAACAAAATGCTGAGTCGTCTTTCTACATGCAAAAAGGTTATTTCACGATCTTTTGAACAAAGTAATTTGTGTTTGATGTATTGGAATATCTTGTTATATATATATGTATATATAACAAATTCGAAAACTATAAGTAGCTTGAAATTTATCTTTAAAAATGGCTGTCTCGGATATTCTGTTTTATTTCTTGATGGAATGATATTAGTAGTAAAAAATATTGAATGATTTCTAAAATATATAAGAATGGATAAATACATTACTTTTCTCTTAATTTTTGGAGAAGTATTTTTAAATACACTCTTTTTAAACTTAGATTTCATTATTTTATGGTAATTGGTTTTTGAACAAAACGAAAATTTTCAAGACTTAACGAATTGTCTGTTTCAGATGGATGTTTTCTAAAAATAAATATATGTGGAGGATTTGTAATTACTTTTTTTTGTTTTAAAGAAATATTTCTTTTTGAATATTTGGGCTTAATAACACAGAATACTGCAATCAGCTTACGATTGTGTTACAATGTGATGATTTCCCTAGGACTAGCCATTTTGGAATTAAAAATAAGTAGTATTCTTTGATTTGGTTTTATATTTCATTTTTTTGATGTTATATATATATGATATTAAAGCCCAGGGCCTGAGTGGTAACGTTTCACGCTTCCACAACACGGGTTCGACTCAACTTTTCATCTCTTCAGTGAGTCGATAAATGAGTACTAGGCTTGCTTGGGATCTAAACACTGGGGGTTTCACATCAGACTGGCCACCTGATCGGAACATCTGCTCATGCACCTCAGCTTCTCAACTGAGATGGGCACAATAGGCTTTGGTCCTCATGTGGTGTTGTGCCACTGAGTTTAGTTTATATGTAAGATAACAGTAGATAAAATTTATATGAAGAAAAGTGTGTGTAAAGGGACATTTTATAGTTTCCGAATCAATTTGAATGTTTGAAAGTCAGTTAGTTCCATTATCGTATAAAAAGTGATAACGAAACCTTTTGAGGTTTCACTATCCCCATTTTTTTTCTTATTATATAGGCCATAGAATTGCCTTATATTTCCGTACATAAGCCGTGAATAATCTCGGAACTTTTTAAAGTTAAAAGAAAAGAAGAAGGCTTATATATATACAGAAATGCATATCTGGGGAAAAAGTAGTCTAAGAAAAACGGATTTTAAACATTTCCCGTTAGCTTTTCACTTTATGGGTATCTTGAATGAGATTTTATTCTAAGAGAATAAATAAGTCACATAAATTCTTCAAAATAAAATTTACATTTAATCATTAGGATATCTGAATGCAAATTAACATCTAACAGCGACTCCTTTCTGGGTATAAAACATAGGTCGACGATTACGTACTGTATACGGATTTCTTTTTACGGTGATTTCACAAACGAAAAAATGACACACAAAACATGACAAGCACAGACATTGTACAAGATAACAAATGAATGGATAAAATGTTTTACTTTCAGATAGGGTTACAACAAATATGACTGTCGTTTTTCTTAACAACAATTGGTTTCGAAAATATACCACCCTTTTGACAACAATTCCACTCTCATGGTGACATGTTTTAAAATAACAAGATTCAACTCATCGATGAGTTTTGATCCTGCGGCAAATTTTTAAATAAAAAAAACATTCTCATTTTGCACGCGGATTGGATTGCATTCGGAAATATAAAGTACTTATATTTGAATAGAAATTTCTTCTATATTCTTGTTTCTCGAAAAGAATTTTGTTCAGTGGTTTATATAATTGTTATTAGAATTTGTTTCAATTTTGTTGTCAAATTAATGTTTCATGTAATTAATATATAATGTAACATTGAGGATAAAAATGATATAACTTTACAAGAATAAACTAAATCAGTAAGAACAGAAATAGGGAAAATAATATATGTGCTAATTATATTATATATATATATATATATATATATATATATATATATATATATATATATATATATATATATATGGAATTTTATTAATTTTTTAATTTGTTTTCCTTTACAAGAATTCTAAACTTATGTTTGTAAAATATACAACACCATGAAAAAATAATCCAAATGAATGAAACTTACAGCACGTGTCAATTTTAATATGTTATGCAAAGTAGTAAAATTTCCGAGTGACTACGCGTGGTGTGAGCAGCGCCCTCTGAACTGATGCTGAAAACGTATAAATAGAGGGCTGTAGTGGGACGTTGAAAGTAGTGCATGGCTATTTGTTAGTGGCGAACGTTTAGTTGTACCTAAGTATTCCTTCACGACGAATAGGGAGAAATTTAAACAACTTACGGAGTTTGAATGAGGATAATCTTCGGCCTTCCTGAAAGAGGATTTTCCTGTCACTCAATATCAGCTCATGTGCAGTGGAACAGTTCAACAGTGATGCAAGTTTGGAAGCTGTGACCAACGAACACCTAACATCTTGAAAAACTGGGAGTGGACGATAGAAGGTGACATCAGCGCGTGATGATAGATAGCTTGTCTGCATGCCGGTGACTGACTGTATAGTTTCCCCCAGGCAGTTAGCAGCACGTTGGTCTACTGCTACAGATGTATTGATATCGGCTTCGTTAATTTTTTTTCGTCGACGTCTTCTGCACAGTAGACTACGTGAAAGGATTTCTGTATACAGGATTCCCATTACGGCAAACCATCAACGGCTGCGTCTGCAAAGGGCTCATGAGCACAGAACCTGGAAAGCTGATTGGTATCAAGTTTTTCTCACGAATCCCACTTTAATTTGTGGAAACATGATGACCGCATTCATGTTAGATGCTATGCCGGTAAGCGCTGCCTTCCAGAGTGCATTTTAGAGTGTTGAACGTCATAGTGGCCAAACACCCGGAGTTATGATCTAGGGTGCAATTTCGTATCATGGATGATCTCAGCTGCTACGAATTGAGGGTAATACGAATGGAAGCAGGTACGTCCTTAAAGTTCTAGAGCCCGAAGTAATTTCCTTTTTTAAGGCATCCCTGGAGCCTTCTTTCAATAGGATATTGCACGTCCACATGTTGCAAGGAATGTTTGAGACTCCTTTTCAGCCCAACAAATGCAAATTCATCCTTGGCTTGCTTATTAGCTGAAATGTAACCTAGTGAAAATATATGGGATTTGGTTGGTCGGTGTCTCTTGTGATCGATGTTCTACAGTTTCAAAGTACGAACTTTAGGTGCGCATACAAATAATTCTTTTCCACAAGCATACATTCGGTATCTGTTTGACTCCATACCACGTCGTGTAGCAGCATTAATTGCAGCGCGTGGTGGCTACATCAAATATTAATTTCGGAAAATTAATATAATTTTTTTCTTTGAAAATTTATTCATTTATTTGCACCAGTACAAGTCCTTGGTGTATAACATTTATTTAATTCTGATGGCTCCTTCATGGTGTTGCATTTTTAACAAACAACGGTTTATAACAAATCAAATGTTGAAGAATTCATGAGAAGAACATAAAGATATTAGTTGTCTAATAGGAATAAATATAATAAAATGTTACTTAATACATTGAAACAGAAAAATATAATTTCTATTAATATTTATTTTAAGAAACCAGAAAATAATTTATTTTTTTAAAAGAAATATTTTTTTCAAACATATTTTTATGTATAAAAATCTTCTGTGCGTGTGTTAGTCACTAAACTCCTCCTAAACGGCTGGACCGATTTCGACGAAATTTTTTGTGTGGGTTCAAGTAAATTTGAGAATGGTTTAGATTTACAATTCAG